TTAAAGCTGAACATGGACTCGTGGGAGAAACAACCACTTAAAATCCCACAATCTGAGGGTGTTTCCTGTTGTTTGTTTGGATCTTACACCCAGACTTTCTCTCATAATAAACCAGCTGTTCCTGCCTTTAAACCCAAAATAAAATGACTGCACGAGTCAGGAATTCAGGGCCGCCATTCGTCTTCTTCTCAGCACTCCCATACGTGAAAATCTGCACAAAGAATTTAAATAACACAAGTCTGTTGTTGCAGTTCAGCCCGTAAAGCCCCAAATAATCCAGCTTCCTGCTGCAGCTCTGCTCCCATTTCCACAAATCAGATGGTAAACATCAGAGTTTCTCCTTTCATCTAAAGTTCACAGAAGTGACGGCGTTCAAAGTTCAGGAACATTTGGCGAGTTGGTGAACGAGAGCGACGCGTGGGCCGCTGCCGTTGGGGTTTCTGACTCTACAGGTACATTCAGGCCGCGCTGATTGTTCTTTTCTCAGACAAACGCTGCTCTGTTCTGCAGCTCCTCTCTTCTCTGCGTGTCTTCCTCCATCAGGGCGAGCAGCTCTTTCTCTGCATTGATGCGTTACGATTTATTGGGCCGTTTCCACCTCCCTCGCCAGAGGAAGAAGCACCAGCCTCTAAAGGGGCCTTCACAGAGCCCTAAATGCAGAAGGGAGGCCTGAGCGCCCTCGTTCAGCCGAACACAAGGCCCCTCTGTGTGTCTGGGGAGGAAGGAGTGCTGAGGTGCCATCAAACTCTCCGGATCTGGACTCTGGATGCCCACTCGGGCTCTGGACACCTGCAGGGTCTGTGAATGTCCCCGTTATGGGGCTGGGCTTTAAAAGCGCGCTCATTCGTGGGCTGTTTATGTCTTTGGACACAGATACACACTGAGACACAAAGTCCCAGCTGCCTGAAGAGCCAGAATCAGACAACATTCAGCTGTAGTGCAACTCAGTTAACCCTTTCGGCAGAGGTGAAACTTCTCAAAGCTTTGCGCAATCTCTGCTGCCTATATTTCAAGGAAAGCGTCCCAGTGGCTTTCAGACAGCGAATAATCCAGGCATGAACTATGCTGATGTTATTAGCCCACTTCGGAGCTCCTTGTGACTCCGGAGGGGGGGTCAGCCGCTACACTAACTGTAGGAAGAACCTCCTGAGCCGAGTAAAGCAATTACACCCTCATCAGGACCGTGGAGCCGCACTGCATCGGCTGTCACACCGCGTCCCCGGAGAGCCGGCGCTGACAGGGCTGGCTTGCGTGGCGGGGGAGCTAACTGTGCTATTAGGTATTGATTGTCCTAAAATAAAGGCCTGCCCTGATGCGCGTGCTCGCAGCTGCTGAAGCATGTGACTCGTGTGTGACTGCCTGCTTTAACTCCACGAGTCTCACTCGGAGCGGGGTCGGACGGCAGGACTGCTGCTGCACATTCCTTTCCGGGCGGAAACACAGCCCATTAGCATCACATGCTAGCTGAGACTCCTGGAAATGAGGGAAGCAAGAACCACCGGGAGAATCCCTGGAACTAAACTGAAAGATTAGGTGCGATTTGTAGGATGTGATGCCGACGTGCCGAAGTGTCCGTGTGAAAGTGTTCCGACGAGCCGGGGCTGGGTGTGACTCAGCAGCCCCGGGTATTACTGGGCAAGAGGATCCACACGGTTGCACAATGGGCAGGACATTAGCCAACTATCGTCTGTCAGCGTGGATAAACTTCCACTCTGCTCACAAAAGACTCGAAGGCCTCGGCCGGCACACTTTGTTAATTAGAGCGGCGGCTCCTGTCAGCGCCCGGGAGGGCAGAAGAGCCGCCCAGATCGTCGCCGCGCAGTGTTGCCAGATCCAAAATCCCACAATATCGTACAGAGAGGCCTAAATTATCATTTTTCAGTACAAATTATCGTACATTATAAATTTGATAATAACGTTCTATAAACGACTTCTCACTCCAATATAATATAACAAAGAAGGTGTTTTATATTGCTCTGTTTAAATAAACATCTTTAAAACCAGTAATATAATGCCTATAAACGTGCCACATTATATAACCTTACAGTTTCTCGCGAGAGTAGGCCCTATCGATGTGATTGGGCTATTTATTGTACAGATCCAGAGTCAGTTTTTGTAATAGACACAATAGCATAAACCTGTAAGCACTGAGGTGAAATCTGACTTCAGAACAGTTTAAAATGATGTAATGGACTTGGGAAAGCCACAGCAAAAGACGATGTTACTAGGTGCAATGTGAAATTATCGTACATTTGAGGATTTTTGAAACTATTGATCGTACATCGTACAGAGCCCAAAATTATGGTACAAGTACGATAATTATCGTACATCTGGCAACACTGTCGCCGCGGTTCACACAAACGTTTATTTGTCCTTTAAACCCCGCAGACGTGAAGCAGGAAGTCGTTTGTAAAGCGTCAGCAAACACCAGCCGAAGCCATCTGAATGTTAGTCGTTTTTACATAACTAATTAATGGTAAACACGTCATCGGTGTTCATAAATATCTGTTTCTCTCTAGAGAAATTCTAGAGCTCGAGATGTTTGAAGACGACAGCAACACCTTAGGTTTGGTGGTGTTCAAACTAGCCGTTAGCTCATCAGTCCTAATGGACAAGAGCTTTATTTATTCAAACGGAGGTTGTTAAGGTAGCAATTATTTATAACTTTTGCCCATAATATGCTTCAAAATGTCCTTTTAGGTTTTCGACCAAGATTTTAGTTTGTAGTCACAGATTTAAAAAAACATTTGAGCATAACAACCAACATTTAAACTCGTCGTCGTCTTCCTCCGCTTATCCGGGTCCGGGTCGCGGGGGCAGCATCCCAACTAGGGAGCTCCACACCGTCCTCTCCCCGGCCACCTCCACCAGCTCCTCCGGCAGGACCCCAAGGCGTTCCCGGAGCAGATTGGAGATGTAACCTCTCCAACGTGTCCCGGGTCGACCCGGGGGCCTCCTGCCGGCAGGACATGCCCGAACCACCTCAACTGACTCCTTTCGATCTGGAGGAGCAGCGGTTCTACTCCGAGCCCCTCCCGAATGTCCGAGCTCCTCACCCTATCTATAAGGCCGAGCCCGGCCACCCTACTGTATCAGATTTAAACTATTTAAAGTTAATTAAAGATCTAAACAGAAATTCTGGTCAGAGAGAATTCAAACGAACCATTTCGGTGATGGTAATGTCATCAGTGAGGGTTAATAAATTACTTTAGACGGTGTTGTGTGGAGGGATCAGCGCGGCGCTCAGAAACACAAAAGTTACTCAACTCAGAACTTCTGCAAAGTTATGAAACCGTAAACTCGGTCAGCGAGTAGGAGTGAGGTGGAGGCGAGGCAGAGAGCCGGGCTGAGCTCGTTGATCAGAAGTTCTCCCTCGCTCTCCTCTTTTTTCCATGGCAGCTGTTTAACAATCCAGAGGAGGCTTCCTGATGACTCAAAACTCTGCACACCACAGAGCTCACGACCAGCTAATGAATTCACAGCATCACTCCTCCTCCTCTCCGCCGTCCACCTCAGCTTCTCTGACGCGGAGAGGGAAACAGATCTCTCCCTCCTGGAAGCAGGTGGAGTTTTACGGGTTTCCCCTCAGGATGTCTGCACGTTGCATCAAGTTTCAGATTAAACGACTGATCAGTCAGGCAGAACAACTCTCACCAGGACACACAAACACCAACTTTATCGCCAAGTTTTTCTGTGACTTCTGGATTATTGAGACTAAAAAAAAACTCCTAAAAGAAGTTCATCAAAAGGGCCTGAAGGAGCACGGATTAGGAAATCCTGCCTCTTTGGAAGAAATTAAATACATTTCTAAAAGAAATTTGAGATATTTTGGAGCATTTCCTCCGTAATGTACGAGTAAATCGTATCAGAGGAAGGCTTGTGAAACCGGGAAATTTGTTATTTAACATAATCTTGGTGACTCAGCTGGCATCGCCAACAAAACAACCTTGTCTCAAACGTAAACACACAGAATTCACCTCCATTCAAACTATTAAATCATTATAAACTTTAAGGATTTATTATCATTTATAAGCGCTTATTAGGCATAAACTCAGATAAGATCTGTTTCCTCTTGTGGACACAGAACAACAACAAGCCTTCATTTCTGGGAAGCAGGAGGAATCAAAAAGCTGACATCTTCTGCATCACTTACAGGATTTTATTCTGGCAATCAGCCTACTGAATACTGGGTTATTGTTTCAGCTCAGAGGAGTCGGAATCAAACCCAGAGATAGTCACTAATTACTGATAGACACGCTTTTGTCTGCAGAAATCGGGACTAACAGCAGGTAAACACGCTCCTCAGAGGAAAGGCGTTTCTAAAAATTTCAATGCAAAGCCTGGAAATGTCTGTAGTTCCTCCCATCCATCAAGAACACATTAATTTTAAAGTAGTTTGTCTTCCATCTTTCTGAAATGTGATTTTTAGCACACAGCCGAGATAACAGCTGTGGGATCCTGTCTGCATCCAGACAAACACAAATCAGGAGCTCCTTCCTCTGGAGGCACCACCTAACAAGGTGTGAGACAGATCTTACAGATCAGCTTTAGATTAATAATTATGGCACCACGAGCCACAGACGCAGACTCTGGGTGTCTGATCAGGACTCGGGTCAGACGGCTGACCCGTCAGGAGGAGCCAGGAGCCCTCTGCAGGACACGACCCCCCACAACACCAGAGAGGTGAACTCAGAGTCACCTGCAGATCATCTCAGCAGACTGTCTAAAAAAAAAAGGCACGTGCGCGCTGGCCATCTTCATGCATTTAATAATGCTTCTGTTGCACGTGAGCGCGCACGCAGGAGAGCTAATCTAGTAGTGATGGAAACGCAGAACCCAGAGCTGTCCAGGCCTGCAGCCAAAAGGTGACCAGGTCCCACCTTCGCATGCTTCATCTACCCGGCTCAACCGAAACTAAGAGCTGCCGTGTCTGGTATCACCAGGCACGCGCACGGAATCACATTCACGCACACGCGCGCGCGCGCACACACACAACGCAC